GCGTATTTCACTCCATCCTGTCACGGACAATCCTACACTAGAGCCTAATCTAAAGTGTACTTTAAAGACAGTTATCTTTGTTCATATTTTTTGGTCTATTTAAGTGAGAGCAGAGAATGGTGTAGTGGTCTTATTTAGCTACAAAATGTTGAAAGTAGAATGTTAAACTATGTAAACTGTAAACTTTTCATTTGGTCAAACAATGAGACCAGTCTCTTACCAGTGCAAGCTTTGGAATTAGTAGAGACACCATCTCATATAAAATATAACGAAAAATTTCTACCTGCATTTGCATTAATGCACGACATCCTGGACCTGGGCCAATTTCTGAAGCAATTCGGCAGTTCTAGCCCTCAATTTTATTGACCACTTAAGATAGAAAGAATTCTATAAAAACAAATGTGGTATGCAGGCATATCACGTGTTTATTACACTATTAGTTAATACATTTTTTTTTTCAACATTACCACATATGTCAGTCAAGGGAGCCAATGAGTTCAGTTTACCCTAGTTATTCACAGAACTAGACAACTAGGATGACACATGTACATTCTCATGGAAAAGGCCGGCATGGCCAGGTGGTTAGGGCGTTCGACTCGCAATCTGAGGGTCGCGGGTTCGAATCCCCGTCACACCAAACATGCTCGCTCTTTCATCCATGGGGGCGTTTTAATGTGACGGTCAATCCCACTGTTCGTTGGTAAAAGAGTTGGCGGTGGGTGGTGATGACTAGCTGCCTTCCCTCTAGTTTTACATTGCTAAATTAGGGACGGCTAGCGCAGATAGCCCTCGTGTAGCTTTGCGCGAAATTAAAAACAAACAAACAAACTATTTTTTCTCAGCGTTTGATATCTATCTTCAATCTCCTTAAAAGCACTGCCCAAGAGGCCTTTCGCTCAATATCAGAACTCGTCAGTTAGGCTTAAGGATGAGGGAGAGTTTATCAGAAACACCGTTTATATATAATGTACATATTGAACATGTAATGTGATCGGAGAATGCAATTTTTAAATGCATTAGAGTTTTATAGAAAAATTAACAAGTAAAAACACTATGTGATGTTAAAATTTAAATTGTAAATTACGTTTTGATACAAAATTTGTTAATTAACATACGTTAGGAAGTAGTTTTTAATTACACTTGAATTTGAATTATCAAATGCTTTGAAAATTGCGATTGAATAAGAAACCTGTAGCATTTATGGAGCTATATGCTCGAAAAATAAAACAGTTAACTTAATGTTATGTTTACATATTACTACGCCAACTAGCATGAATCAGAGCGTAAATTCTGAATAAGGACCAAAGTGTGAATTTTGTGACGAGAAAACTGGCTGATAGACATGTTTAAATAAGTACACTTACAAGTTACGAAACCAACTATGAAACACAAACTCGTGTAATGATAAATTGGGATAGAAGAATGCAGAGGCGCTTGAGAAGATTAAAATAAAACAGTAAATACTTATTATAAACTAAAAGACACTGAAATGAAATATATCCACAAACATATCTCTAAAGTACATATTACAATCCTACCATAACTACACAATACAAATACACAGTAGTTAAATTTGGATTTCGAAGAAGATGAAACAATCGTTTGTGATGTACTTTGACATTCCAATCAGAAAACCTGGAACGCTAATGGCTTGAATCCTCAAGAGGTAGAGCTCCGTTCTACCCAAATTTAACCCCTTCATACACATATAAATACACACACACAAACAAGCATACATACTTACACCATGGAAACATCGACGGCAATGAATAAGTAGAAACAAGAGGACAACCTATCTACCCACATCGCAGAGAAGTAGGTCGCCAACAGCAAATGTTGTTACAAGTCTGGCCTCACATATTAAAGCAGTCACCTTATAATGTAATTACAAAATTTTTAAAAAGGGAAATTACAACATTTACTTACATTTGCATAAGCTTCACATACTATTTTAGTACTGGCCACTCCCATTAGAGGAGAAAAAACGATGGGTACAAGTGATGTAACAGCAAGAGGAACAGGTTCTGTCATCCAGAACAATGCCATCACGATCATCATGTAGGCACATTTTGCTTCCTACAAGAGAATGTTAGATGTGAGCTTATAACTTGTTCTACTTTTTACTTTAGAAAACAATGTAAATTTGTGCTACAATTTAGTATTCAAGCAAGAGGTTTATTTCATGGCTTTCTAAACTATAATCAAATCTAGCCACAGGCAGAATTAGCTTAGAGCACAATATGAATTAATGAGAACAGTTTTTCATAACTGAAATCAAACATTCTTATAGCTTAGATAATAAACGCATTTAGTCATTATCTGACGAATAAATGTTTTACTCTAGGGCATGGCATGTATCAGGTCGTCAAGAAATTAATGTCGTGTTTTGGAACACTTTCATTAACCATCCCCCAAAAAACGTCATCACGTATAATAGTTAAACGAACTGCCTAAATGTCACGTTAGTGTAGCCTATATAATGTGTAAAGTTTAGTATACTCTAATCCCTTATAGTGATGTCACACGACGAGACACATATTCGGCATGTAATGCTGTTTGAATACAAGAAGGGAAACAACGCCTCTGTAGCCACAAATAATATCAAAAAAGTTTAAAATAACAACACGCTCAATGTATTAAAACTCCCTTAAAACAATGTTTCGCCCCCCACCCCCAGTGGCACAGCGGTATGTCTGCGGACTTACAACGCTAGAAACCGGGTTTCGATACCCGAGGGGGGCAGAGCACAGATAGCCCATTGTGTAGCTTTGTGCTTAATTACAAACAAACAAACTTGTCATAATTAGAAAATATTATCATTCATTAGATGATTTATTAACTACTATTGGCTTTTATTTTTATGTTTTTTTTTTAATTATGTGATAAAAATATATTACTAATGATGATTTT